CTCCTCCTCTTCCATCTTTCGTTTCCCTTCCTCTTCCTCCTTTCAGTTCTCCTCCTCTTCTTCCTTCTTCGTTTCCTCCTTTCCTTCTTTCGTTTTCCTCTTCCCCCTTAGTTTCTCTCCTCTTCTTCTTTAGTTTCTCCTCTTCTTCCTTCTTTCGTTCTCTCCTTCTTCCTCTTGTTTCTCCTCTCTTCCTTCTTTAGTTTCTCCTCCTCTTCCTTCTTTAGTTTCTCCTCCTCTTCCTTCTTTAGTTTCTCCTCCTCTTCCATCTTTCGTTTCTCCTCTTCCTCCTTTAGTTTCTCCTTCTCTTCCCTCTTTCGTTTCTCCTCCTTCTTCCTCTTTCGTTTCTCCTCCTTCTTTTCGTTTCTCCTCCTCCTTTCGTTTCCTCTTCCTCCTTTCGTTTCTCCTCCTCTTCCTCCTTTCGTTTCTCCTCCTCTTCCTTCTTTCGTTTTCCTTCCTCCTTTCGTTCTCCTCCTTCCTTTTTGTTTCTCCTCCTCTTCCTTCTTTAGTTTCTCCTCTCTCCTTCTTTGTTTCTCCTCTCTCCTTTCGTTTCCTTCCTCTTGTTCTCCTTTTTTCTCCTCTTCTCCTCTTTTCTGCTTCTCGTTCTCCTCTTCCCTCCTTTATTTCTCCTTCTCTTCCTACTTTGTTTCCCTCCTTTCCCTTCCCTACCTTGTACGTTTCTCCTCACTCCTCTTCACTTCTGCCTTGTCCTCCCTCTCCCTTCCTTTGACCTTGTCTCCTCTCTTCCCTCTTTCGTTGTCCCTCCTTTCCACTTGTTGCTTTCCGTCTTTCGTACTTCTCCTTTACTCCTTTCTTTCGTTTGCTACCTCTCCTTGTCGTGTTCACCTTAGTTCTTTCCGGTTTCTCTCCCTTCCTTTCCCGGGTTCTCTCCTGCTGGTACCTCCTTGTTCACCTGTTTGCTGTCCTTCGTTTCCTCTTCACTTTCCTGGTTCTGTCGGTTTGTCACACCTGGTCACTCTTCCTCCTGGTATCTGGTCTTTACACCTGGTCATCTGTTCCACCTCATTGGTCCTGTTCCTGTCTTTCACACTTAGTCTGTCCGGGGTTTGTCCTGGTCACTCCCTGATTCTGTCCGGTGTTTCCCTGTCACTGTGTACTACCTGAGCTTGTCATCCGTGAGTACACCTGGTCACTTCTATGACCTTGTCAGTCCTGATCACCTGGTCACTTCAGGGACCTTGTCACTCCACTGCTGGTGCCTTCAGAGTCCTTGGTACACTCACTGTACAAACGGGTGGTCCAGGAGGTGTGTGGCACACTTGGTCACTGTTACAACACTGGTAGGTGCTGGTCCAGGAGTGTGTGGTACACTTGGTCACTGTTACAACACTGGTAGGTGCTGGTCCAGGAGTGTGTGGTACACCTGGTCACTGTTACAACACTGGTAGGTGCTGGTCCAGGAGGGTGTGTGGTACACCTGGTCACTGTTACAACACTGGTAGGTGCTGGTCCAGGAGGGTGTGGTACACCTGGTCACTGTTACAACACTGGTAGGTGCTGGTCCAGGTGGTGATGGTACACCTGGTCACTGTTACAACACTGGTAGGTGCTGGTCCAGGAGGGTGTGTGGTACACCTGGTCACTGTTACAACACTGGTAGGTGCTGGTCCAGGAGGGTGTTGGTACACCTGGTCACTGTTACAACACTGGTAGGTGCTGGTCCAGGAGGGTTTCTGTTACAACCTGGTCACTGTTACACAACACTGGTAGGTGCTGGTCCAGGAGGGTGTGTGGTACACCTGGTCACTGTTACAACACTGGTAGGTGCTGGTCCAGGAGGGTGTATGGTACACCTGGTCACTGTTACAACACTGGTAGGTGCTGGTCCAGGAGGGTGTGGTACACCTGGTCACTGTTACAACACTGGTAGGTGCTGGTCCAGGAGGGTGTGGTACACCTGGTCACTGTTACAACACTGGTAGGTGCTGGTCCAGGAGGGTGTGTGGTACACCTGGTCACTGTTACAACACTGGTAGGTGCTGGTCCAGGAGGGTGTATGGTACACCTGGTCACTGTTACAACACTGGTAGGTGCTGGTCCAGGTAGGTGTGGTACACCTTTTCACTGTTACAACACTGGTAGGTGCTGGTCCAGGAGTGTGTGGTACACCTTTTCACTGTTACAACGCTGGTAGGTGCTGGTCCAGGAGGGTGTGTGGTACACCTGGTCACTGTTACAACACTGGTAGGTGCTGGTCCAGGAGGGTGTGTGGTACACCTGGTCACTGTTACAACACTGGTAGGTGCTGGTCAGGAGGGTGTGTGGTACACCTGTCACTGTTACAACAGCTGGTAGGTGCTGTCCAGGAGGGTGTGTGGTACACCTGGTCACTGTTACAACTGGTAGGTCTGGTCCAGGAGGGTGTGTGGTACACCTGGTCACTGTTACAACACTGGTAGGTGCTGGTCGAGGAGGGTGTGTGGTACACCTGGTCACTGTTACAACAGTGGTAGGTGCTGGTCCAGGAGGGTGTATGGTACACCTGGTCACTGTTACAACACTGGTAGGTGCTGGTCCAGGTAGGTATGGTACACCTGGTCACTGTTACAACACTGGTAGGTGCTGGTCCAGGAGGGTGTGTGGTACACCTGGTCACTGTTACAACACTGGTAGGTGCTGGTCCAGGAGGGTGTGGTACACCTGGTCACTGTTACAACACTGGTAGGTGCTGGTCCAGGAGGGTGTGTGGTACACCTGGTCACTGTTACAACACTGGTAGGTGTTGGTCCAGGAGGGTGTGTGGTACACCTGGTCACTGTTACAACACTGGTAGGTGCTGGTCCAGGAGGGTGTGTGGTACACCTGGTCACTGTTACAACACTTTTAGGTGCTGGTCCAGGAGGGTGTGTGGTACACCTGGTCACTGTTACAACACTGGTAGGTGCTGGTCCAGGAGGGTGTGTGGTACACCTGGTCACTGTTACAACACTGGTAGGTGCTGGTCCAGGAGGGTGTGTGGTACACCTGGTCACTGTTACAACACTGGTAGGTGCTGGTCCAGGAGGGTGTGTGGTACACCTGGTCACTGTTACAAGACTGGTAGGTGCTGGTCCAGGAGGGTGTGTGGTACACCTGGTCACTGTTACAAGACTGGTAGGTGCTGGTCCAGGAGGGTGTGTGGTACACCTGATCACTGTTACAACACTGGTAGGTGCTGGTCCAGGAGGGTGTGTGGTACACCTGGTCACTGTTACAAACTGGTAGGTGCTGGTCCAGGAGGGTGTGTGGTACACCTGTCACTGTTACAACACTGGTAGGTGCTGGTCCAGGAGGGTGTGTGGTACACCTGGTCACTGTTACAACACTGGTAGGTGCTGGTCCAGGAGGGTGTGTGGTACACCTGGTCACTGTTACAACACTGGTAGGTGCTGGTCCAGGAGGGTGTGTGGTACACCTGGTCACTGTTACAACACTGGTAGGTGCTGGTCCAGGAGGGTGTGTGGTACACCGTGGTCGTGATAAGATATTACTGAAGATACGATAATAAAAGTAATTGATTGTGCCGTAGTTACATTAGGGTGTTATCGTGTTATCTCTTACAATTATCTTTTGCACCACAAGCACTAACCACCATCCCCACTACAATCTCTGGCCATAACAACAACGGTCACTAACCACCACTACAGTCACTAACCAACACCACAATTACCGACCATCACCATAGCAAACACTAACAAATACCATCACAATCACTATGCACTATTCCTACCACAATCACTAACCATAATCCCCACAACAGTCGCTAGCCATAACCACAACAGTCACTAGCCATCACAGTAACCACAATCACTAGCAACTACAGTCACTAACCACCACAATCAGTAATCACCATAATCACTATCGTTTACCACCAAAATGATCATTACAACCACAATCACTAACCACAAACACCACCACACCTTAACAAACACAACCCACCACCACCACAATCACTAACCATTACCACCAGAATGACTGATCATTACAGCCAGTCACTACCCGAAGACCTTAGTTGTGATCCCGCACACAATACAGTCATTTAAGAACCATCTAGTTGAATTCTATGTAAGCATAAAATTCAGCAATAATATCTTTATTTCTACAAGTACATGTACAAGGTATACAGACCTGGCTGACATCAATGACATACTACTATACAGAAAATCACTTGTTATGCTGAGCATTTCCAGTAAATTAGGTCAGTTTTGTCCCAGGATGCGACCCACACCAGTCGACTAACACCCAGGTACCTATTTTATACTGATGGGTGAACAGGGACAGCAGGTGTCATAAAAACACGTCCCTAATGTTTTCCAGCCGTACTGGAGATTCGAACTTCCGACCTCAGTGTGTGAGCTGAATGCGCTAGCGATCAAGCTACGGGACACCTAAGCATACCATAGCAAACTTTAATAAGAGATTTCTGGTATTAGGTAAGTACATAGTTACATCAGGACGATTACTTAACAAGCAGTTGAATGTCACATGTATAACAGTTGTGTCGTCACTGTTGAACAGTGAAATACTCGCCATGCATAACAGTTGTGTATCTTCACTGTTGAACAGTGAAATAGTCACCATGCATAACAGTTGTGTATCTTCACTGTTTAACAGTGAAATAGTCACCATGCATAACAGTTGTGTATCTTCACTGTTTAACAGTGAAATAGTCACCATGCATAACAGTTGTGTATCTTCACTGTTTAACAGTGAAATAGTCACCATGCATAACAGTTGTGTATAGACGTGTCGCGGCACTGTTATTCTTATACATCAAACAACAGGACAAAATCATCCTGGTACGGCCCTTAACCTTGATAAATGTAGCGGCCGGTTCTTGTATTTTTGAGGTTAAAAAAAATAAAAATTAAAAAAAAAGAGAAAATAGCATGAAGGATCAGCTGGCGTAATTATATTTGATACCATTAATAATTATATATAAAACTGAGGATTAAGTTAAAATGAATCTACATAAAACAGAATTATTTTTTTATTTAGCATGACTGACCTGCCCGCAGGAAGTAATTCATACTCTATAAAAATAAGTAACAAGTATATTTTTTTCTTTGCAGAATATGGCATTATAACTGTAACAAAAGGTATATTTAGTTGTAATGTGTGTGTGTACGCACAGTTATACCTAACTGACATTATTGAGAAATAAGACAATATTTAGATATAGGATAAGCTTAGGGGAAAAAAAACTCCATCGTTTTTCAACTTCTAATCAAATAATAAGCTTGGGAAAGACTAGTCTTCATTTTCAAATTCTAATCACTAAACTTTTACACATGTGACCGTAAATCTTGCGCACACACACACACACACACTCACATGTTCTGTGCACATATAAATCATGGTCCTAACTTAAAAAAAAAAAGTCAGTAATAAGTAATATCACAATATTTATGTTGGTCATACTGCCAACTTAACAAACATAATAATACACAAACTCGGAGACTGAATCATATTTTATACACGAGTGTAAATAACTATGCGGCTACTTAATACATTTCATATAATTCCTAACGTAACCTAGTATTAGGATTATTCACACTCTGGGTCTTTTTTTGAAAGGTTAGGTTAGGCAAGATTTGTCAGGAAACAGGACAAGCGTTTCCTGACCCGCAGCTGGAGCTTTTGGTCATCTGACCGAGGCCTTCCGCTGGCTTACCCTTCCACCCCTTTTAAAAACTACGGGTATGACTATAACCATTTTTCTTTTATCTTTTAGAAAGATGTGGCACTCTGTACAAGTGTACATGAATGATGTCAGCACTCTGGTAGTTGGCTAATAGACCGAGTCTCGGTGTTCATTGGCCAACACTATATTTATACTCAGCTTTCATTGGCTGATGACATTTTCATCGCTGCTGATTGACTGATATTGCAGTTATTCGGTGTTGACAATTTCAGAGGAATATCATACCAACCTACTTAATATAAACACGCTTTTGTGTAAAATATATACCGTATCAGGGTAAATTTGACAAAGTGGAGTAGTATTTGCTTTGCGTGTTTTTACTCGCAACCATAGCCACAGTCTCACAGTATGGCAACAACTGGCAACAGGAAGAATATGGTTGAATGAACCATATACGGGTCACCATAAAAATCTTATGTGCAAAAAAAAATAAGAAAAGATAACTAGTCATCATGAGTTCTGGCGATCAAAATTTATATTCTGAATGTTACTTATATTTTGGCAAAGGACCAAAAGTTTGATAAATATAAATATATAGCCATGAAGCACTTGGTTTTTAAACTTCTGATAATGAACAGGAAGATCCATCTAGGAACACGTAAGTCGAGCATATTAGTTTCTTCATAAACAAATGTGCAAGACCAATAACGTATAAAGATACCTGGGACTTCGGCAGCACCTTCTAAAAATCTCTATCATGAAACCAAAACCTGGAAATCTGCAGTTAACTAATTCATAGACAATAGTAGTGAAGACAAAACATTACAGTCCTCCATTTAACGTCCTCAGACACCAGTTCAAAATCTGACAGAGCTCCGAGTAATGCTTTATGATAAAGATTATATATATTTGGGGGGGGGGTAATTACAGAATTACATAGCAGATTTTTTTTTCAAATCTTTAAATTGTCGCCGGAGAATAAATATATGCTTACATTTTTTTATTTATAGATATGACCAGACAAAATAATCCTTCTGTCTGTAACTATCACAGTTTAAGTCTTAGTCCATTGTCTACTATTGTTTTTTCCTTCTAACGTAGGAAGAAAATGAAGGAGAAAATTGTCTACTGAGCGACTCGTCACTTCGTAAGTCCTTCTAGATATATGCACCATTATTTTCATTATCCATTTTTTTCTTTCTATCATATCAGGCGTTATTTTGGATCTTATTCATGAGTAAAGATATGTCATAGGTCCTCCACCTGTAGCACTCTCCCCCACCCGAAGATTTTCAGCGAGTCTTGCCAGAAACGGTGCTGAAGGCATGAAAGGAGGTGTCTGGGGGGTATGTGGAGGACGCTGAAGGCATGGATCTGACACGGGCGCAGAGAAGGGCGGTGAAGACTGAAGAGGCCACTAGGACCACGAACATGGCCACCAAACCTGCCACAAACGATGATATACTCATGCACATGTCTCCAGGGTTCGCTCCGGTGTCTTCTGGAACAGTGGAAACAAAAAACGTCAGGAACTTAGGTATGGTTTGTCAGGAAACAGGACAAGTGTTTCCCGACGCTTGCCTTAGTCGTATGATCACCTTCAGCTGGAGTTTTTAGTCATCTGACCGAGGCCTCCCGTTAGGAACTTGGGGAGTGACCGTTTAAGTCAGGATAATGGTGCCTGGAATCTTAAAATAATACCCAAAGTAACACAAAAATGATATTATGGTTAAGTAGTGGTGTTCCTACTGCATGTTTGTTTCCAACTCAGAGACCCTTGAACTCTGAGATGTCTACAGCAATATCAGGAAGCAGGTGTGTTCTTGCAAAACATGATTCCATCATATACCCATATCTTCTTCCTCTTCCAATCCCACCTCCACTCCAATACCTTTACCTTCGTACACCCATCTCACATGCCAAAACTTCATCCCAAAACCCATCACTTATACTTTCCCCATACATCTTACAATCACATATTCCTTAAAATAAGTGACATCACAGCCCTTAAAGCCCTCAAAATTCTATAAATGTGATCGAGTCTGCAATAAGAGAAAATGCAATGATGAAAACTCAGAGGTATTTTCAATATTAGAAAAAAACTAACAGTAATAATAATGGATACAATATTCCCCAAGATATATTAGGTAATAAGAACACAAAGAGATAAAGGTGGTAGTGGTGGGGTAACCTTATTAATGAGAAAATACAGGCTTGAAGACATGGAATCACCAGAATGGAGACGGTTCAAGGGTCACAATTCATGATCAGTACATCGGTTAACGATTCAAGGGATCATCGACTCCATATCTCCAGAAATAAGAACTATTAACAAACACATAGGAAAAAAGAGATAAGTGTATACTAAATGCGAAACGAGACCCAGGCAGGACCGATGAGGATAAACATTTTTTTTTTACACAAGTCAGTTTTACAGGCTAACAGCTGTTATCCTACCTCAGCTCAGTTCCAAACCGAGCTCTAAGGTATACTACAACCCCCTCTGCCCCAGGATGCGACCCACACCAGTCAACTCACACCCAGGTACTTGCTGCTGGGTGAACAGGGACAGCAGCTGTAAGGAAACGCGCCCAGTGTTTACACCCATACTGGATATCGAACCAGACACTCAGTGTGTGAGCATTAATGAGACAGTGCTGATAAAGATGACACAAGAGACTTTAACCAGGAAGACTGTTGAAGAATTACACATGGGAAAAACTTGTGTATCTTTATTGTGGAAACATTTTGGCAACCAGAGGCTTCCTCGGTCCAGTACAGAGAAGAATGGTAGAAGATCAGAAGGAGTTTGAGGTAATCAGTCCCTCAGCCTGGAGTCGACGTGATCAGTCCATCAGTCAAAGCATTGGGTCACACCATCCTATGTATTCTATGAGGTCTGTCACTAATCACTAAATCCGGGTGGACAATTCAGTCCAAAGATTGCTGGAGGCTTGATCCTCTGTCTGCCAGATGAGACCAGGTCGAAGAATTAAACATATGTGCAACATCTGGGTATCTTTACCTGTAGACGTTCCGCCATCCAGTGACTTTATCAATACAATACATGGACATAATCTGGAGACTGTAGAAATATGTACAGAAGACATTGTAAGACGAGGTAATCAATCCCTCAGCCTAGAAGCAGGTGATGAGCACCGTAGTCTTAAGAATCAGATTCTTCAAAACTACGATACTCGTCACCTAGGCTAAGTGTACATACCAAGGAATATGCACCTTGGTGTGATTATCTCGTCTCCCAATGTCTTCTGCATATATTTTTAGTCTTCAGATAATGACCTTGTATTGACAAAGCCACTGGATGGCGAGACGTCTATAAGCAAAGATACTCAGATGTTGCACATACGTCTGATTCTTCATCTTGTCGATATTGTATACTATTGACATGCGAGACCAGGTCACTGACCAGTCAGGCTAAACACTGTGTGTCATCATCAACTTTATAAGGCAGTCGTAGCTTAAAAGTGCAAACCCTTATTCTTTAAAGATTCTATCACGACCAGGGATACTAGAACTGAGCTGGAATTCAGGTACCAGTATCATGTGGGGTTCGAACACGTGGATAGGGTAAAGAAATACTCACGTAGGCTGGAAGTACGTATATTACGGATAATGTGGGAAGCGCCAAACAGCCGTGACCTGCCTCCTTGCTCTCTCACGTAAGACTAACTAACCCCAGTACCCATATGTGAGGGGGGTGTTTGAATACTGCTGTGGTCAGCAACAATATGAATACAGACAGTGATTCACGCAGAGACGGTTGGTAGTGAGTCATCTACTGGTACACTGGTTACTGGTAACTGGTTACTGGAACTGGTACTACTACTGAGAGCTTGGCGACGCTAACGTATGTCGTCCCGACATACAACTAATACAAACTAGAGATGGCAGGTATACGGCTTGGGCTGATTCTATACAATGTCAAAGTACACAACAATTGAACATTATAACATACATAAGTAGAACATTGGAATGGAAGCTTACGTAACTGAAACTGTAATGCAATACAAGATATAATATAGCACAACTCATCGAATGAAACTCAATGTTGGGATTACACAATAGAAGTGATAAAAAAAAAATTGATCGATCGATCTGTATTCATGTGATCTATGGATTCTGAGGAAGGAATATATACAAAGAAAGAGTGTTTAACAGAAAGGCAGATTCGGTGCACTCAAATCTAGACTATTAACTCTCAGAATTCGGAGAGAACGCGAACACAAAAAAAAATTCTTGAATACTGATAAGTTGAATCTGTAATTATTCATCTATACAGGCTATTTACATTTAACCCCAACTCTGCTAGGGTAAGATTGACATATGCAGAATGGGTGTCATCTCTGGGAGGATCAAACTCTGTTGCATTGGCTAACTCATGCTGTATTTGAGGCAAATCTGAATTGGATGTTACAAATGATACTTGAGGATTTCTCAATACCTGTCATGTACGTAGGGAATAACGACATTCAGGTTGATCATCTGACTGAGTATCAGAGGAAGAGAGTACAGGATCAGGAGGATTGTCAGAGTCTGTCACATTAGTCTGGGTTGGAACATCATTATCATCACATACTAACTTCATATGATCTAAATGCGATTCTTTATACTGACCAGTACTAATTTCTCTAACCTTATACTTATTACCAGTGATATGTTCAACTACTCGATAAGGACCAACAAACTTTTGATCAAGCTTTGGCATTGCAGACGTTTTGTTAAAGTTAGTCAGCATAACTCTCGAGCCTACTTTGATTTTGGATGGCTTTGCTCGAGTGTTTGCGACTCTTGTAAATTCTGCTGTTGATTTATGAAGTGTTTCACGGATTCTTCTAAAAACACTTTGAGCTAAACTGGTACGAGTTGCTATGAAATCATCAGGGTTGTAATTTGGTTTCGGATTAGAATATAACAACTCATAAGGCAAACGTTTATCTACACCATACAATGCATAATGTGGAGTGTCACCTATAGAAACATTGTAAGCAGAATTTATAGCACACTGCACATCAGGTATAACTTCATCCCAAGTTTCACTGTTGGGATTGATAGTGGCTCTCAAGACATCAGTCATGAGCCTTGAGAACGTGATAGGGGAGGATCGTAATCCAAACGCCATACGGAGGAAGTGATAATGACCTGTAGGAGTGGAGAATGCAGTTAGCTCTTGGCTGTCCTCGTGAAGAGGGACTTGCCAAAACCCTTGTAACAAATCCAGGGTTGAAAAGACTTTATTATCTCCGATGTTACGTAAAAGATCACCCAGTACAGGAAGTGGGAAGCGATCTGGAATAGTTTTCGCGTTTAACTTCCTAAAGTCAATTACTGGGCGCCAAGTACCATCCTTCTTAGGTACTAGGATCAAGGGCGCATTCCAAGGTGAATTGCTAGGTGCGATAACTCCATCATCAAGCATTTGATTAATTAATTCTTCTGCGACAGCAACTTGTGAATGAGGCATTCTGTACGTAGGTATGTAGATAGGTCTAGTACCAGGTTCAAGTGGAATACGATGGGACAATAAGTTCGTTATACCCATCTTCTCACCTGGTAAGGCAATGGCTTTACGACGTTTGTTTAACAGAGTCAACAAACGCCTGACTTCATCTGGGAAGTCAGTGGGAGCTAAGTCTTTCTCCTCAACTGGTGGAACAGATTGATCCAGTGAAGTGGATGAGGTCTCCACCGCTGCCACCATTTATCATGTGGGGTTCGAACACGTGGATAGGGTAAAGAAATACTCACGTAGGCTGGAAGTACGTATATTACGGATAATGTGGTAAGCGCCAAACAGCCGTGACCTGCCTCCTTGCTCTCTCTCGTCCGACTAACTAACCCCAGTACCCATATGTGAGGGGGTGTTTGAATACTGCTGTGGTCAGCAACAATATGAATACAGACAGTGATTCATGCAGAGACGGTTGGTAGTGAGTCATCTACTGGTACACTGGTTACTGGTAACTGGTTACTGGAACTGGTACTACTACTGAGACCAGTAGATAATTTGCTACTTGTTGTTTCAAGCCATGAGAAAGTTTAGCTTCAGAGGATGGTGGGGTGAGAGAGAGAGAGAGAGAGAGAGTTGATGTTAATGGTTGTTTACTTACTGGCCACAAGGGTTATGGGAGAGTCCCGGAGGAGAGAGTAGTCCTCGGGGGAGATGACTCGCAGCTTCCTGGCTAGGCGCACCACCTCACCATCACTCTCGTTCTTCCTCCCGCTTCTGTTGATGCTGTTGCCAGGTACGATGCTATCTCCCTCCCTTCCTTCTACCTCTCCATGTTCCTCCTCATCTTCCCATCTGCTGCTACTTCCCTCGCGGCTAGGAATTGGTAAGGAGCGCTTTTTGCGAACCACCTGTGAAAGAGAAGTCAGCCACCTGTTTAACGCTTCTCCCGATGCGTTAGTAAGTTTATTCAGGTATACACAAATGCAGTTACATAGATTATCATACATAGCAGCATATGTGTAGAGAACCTTGGATAACCCAGAAAAGTCAGAGTGACTTATTTCCATTGGGATCCTTTGAGATATATAACCGTTGGAGATGATGATAACTGGTGATTATGAAGCACAACACTCAGTGTAACAATTACAAAAACAAGGTAAACGAAAAGGCTGTCTCCGGACATAGACTGAATACCCAGCCATGGGGAAATCCAAGAACCAACTACGCTAGTCAACCACCTGGAGGTTAATGTGTGGGGGTCCGGAACTGGAGCTCAACTCACCCCATCCTCCGGACACACTGGGCATATTTCAGAACACAAATCTACTTGGCACTCGATGTAAACATCGTTCTTGTCTGGGAACTTGAAGGCCTGTAACAACAACAATATACATATTAGCAAGTCGATAAATGTATCAACAACATCAATGGTGATTAAATTAAATGTGTATATTACCAACTAAATCTATCTACTAAATATACCCAGATGTTGCATATGTGTCTTATTTGTCAATGTCGAAGATACTTGCCATGAATCAGTTAATACACTGATTAATTATAAAATAATTGTGCGAAATTAAAGATTAGATAAATATTTGCAAATTCTAAATATCACCGAGTTCAAAGTTAATACATCATTTGTTAATGTTTAACTTTAGCTTAAACCTCAATGTTTTTATACATGTTCTAGCAGTGCATGAATGTAAATTGTTAGGGAGAGAGAGACTTGAAGAATTACCTGGAAGTGGGAGAAGGCTAGGACAGGAATCTTGGGGTTGCCTGTTTCTCTGGTCTTCTGCCATGACCCCAGCACTTTCTTCCTGCTCCCCAACACACACCCTTTCTGTGGGACGAGAAGGATTTACTCTGGAATGGAACCCATTAGCACCAGCTTGCTAGCAAGCGTGTTAGATACTTCTAGTCTTATTCTTATACTTTACGGAGAGATTTTTCTTAGCTTCTCTGTTAGCGGTGCCTTGTATTAGATGTTTGTTTTTACATTGTCATATTTACAGCTTGAAGTATTGTTACTTTCCATTGTTGCTCTTACATATGTTGTTTTAGTTTGTTCTTACTCAGTTTATCTTGTCCTAGACTATTCTGACTTGTCCTGGCTTGGCCTTACATTAATTTACCCTAGCTCACTATCGTCCTGGTCTCACAGTTTTTTTTTTTTTAGCATCTCTCTCTACGGATCCCTCCCTCTGTTTTTGATGTCTCCTCCTATAGGCATTGTAACCATATCCTTCCCTCCCTTCCTGCCTACATGTAACCTGCAGTGCGCCAACACCCACGTACCTCGTCTGTGAGCTGGTAGGGGTCCTGGTGCGAGCCGTCGTGGGCTACACAATTCCGCACCAGAAGATCGGCACTGGCTAAGCCTTCCACACCCACCACCATCGTCATCAGCTCTCCTATCTTCACCATACCTGAGGCGGAGGGGGCGAAGGGCCCTCGCCCGATCTGAGAACACGAAGGAGGTTTAAGTCGTACAGGAGCCACATATTAACACAAGACATGTGAGATTTAAGACTCTCTATATGGGTTCAAACCCCACCCGTTCCGTGATCAGCTCACCTGTATGTCAAGCGAGGCGGAGGCTAGCTTGTTGTCGGCAGGGAAAGTAACAACATGTTGTTCCAGCATGTCAACATTGAGCGCTGCTTTCACGGTCTGGCTCTGGTCCCCTCGTCCCAGAGCTCCGTCGAACACACATCTCACGCCCCGAGCCGTGTCCCACACCTGAACCATGTGTTAACTTAAAGTTGCTTAAAGGTATATAAAGCCTGTCGTCTACACGAGTCACAAGGCTACATATAACCTGTTAGGTACAAGGACATATGTGCAACTAATGCGACATTTTATTGAGAAAACGTTTCGCTCTCCAGGAGCTTACCAAGCCATTACAGAAAGTACAGGGACAGAGGGTATTATTTGTAACGGCTTGATAAGCTCCTGGAGAGCGAAACGTTGCCACAGTAAAATGTCGCATTAGTTGCATATGTGTCCTTTTGCCTAACATATTGTCGGTAATTCTACCAACATCATTAACAGTAACCTGTTCACCACCAGTCAAAAATACTTTCATTCCTAAAATGGATTAAAGTAAATTATCAGCGTATATACAGACATACACCTCTAGGGGTATATATCCTGTTAATCTGGAGAGTTTATCTGGAGAGAGTTCCGGGGGTCAACGCCCCCGCGGCCCGGTCTGTGACCAGGCCTCCTTAGGTCAGTGTCCCAGGATGCGACCCACACCAGTCGACTAACACCCAGGTACCCATTTTACTGATGGGGAACATAGACAACAGGTGGAAAGAAACACGTCCAATGTTTCTACTCTGGCTGGGAATCGAACCCAGGCCCTCACCGTGTGAAGCGAGAGCGTTAACCACCAGGCCACCAGAGCCCCTGGTGAGATTTATTTAAGAAATCTACAAATGTTTTACATACAGTAGTATAAATTTGTGCAATGGCTCTGAGAGCATATAGATACACATATAACCCCCACGTAGGAGAGAGGAGCTTACGACGACGCTTCGGTCCGACTTGGACTATTTACAAAATCACACTGTGACTTTGTAAATGATCCAAGTCAGACCGAAGCGTCGTCATCAGCTCCTTTCCTATGTGCGGATTATTTGTGTATTGTTCCAGTCACGGTATTGTGACTTTGTATTATTTAAGCATATAGATGATTTAGGCACACGATTATGGTATCTTTTGTTGATTTAACCTAGGATACTTCTATGAAGTCAACATAGCTTATATCAGTATGTCAGAAGCAGGTGTGTACACGGAGATTTACTCTCAAGAAGTATACGCTGATGTAGGTTGTAGGGGAGTCTATCGTGGTATGCTGTCTACCTGTTATGTTAAATATTTGGCTCAGTCCTGCGGCTCTGGGGATTTATCTGCCCTATACTTTGTCTCATTGTAGGGAGTGTTATTGCTGTTCTTGCTGCTGAACAGCGGTTAGTGCCGATGAAGGTAGCGTAGGTAGCAATGATACGGCCGTGGACTAGTTTGGCTTTAACTGGATAGGAGTGAGTACACAACCGGCAGTGTGAGGGAGTGACCGCAAGCCAGTCCGTGGAGGGGGAGCACTTGTGTCTATCAAGAGGGTCGGCCTAGGAGTGAGAGCGAATGGGCTCAGCCTCCCACTGACCTGGGTGAGCCTACAGAGGGCAGCACCTAAATGCCGCGAAATATGAACTAGTCAGAGCAGACGGGTAGGCTGTGTGTTCTGACAGTACAGGCTGTCTACATTTGCTCGGCCACGCATCCAAATGTAGACAGCAGGGGGGCTGAACTAAGCTGGCTTAAGGGCTAAGCCAACTGGGTTCCCACATGGTTAAGCCAGGTAGAACTTCTTGGAGGAAACTGGGAAGAACACAACACACATGGACGGCGAGATGGCCGTCGTTGCGTAGCAGAGAAGGCTGTAGAGAGGGCTGGTGTGTTTACACGCTGAATAGGGTATCAACCAACCCCAGAGCTGCCTCGTGGTCACGCATGGAGCCACACGAAGCCAACACACTAAACGACCTCACCTCTACTTCTTGTAGCTGAGAAGGGCGTAGGGATGCTGTAGGAGGCAGGAGATGATGCTGGAGAGTGTTGAAGGGCTGTAGAGAGGGTGATGAGGTGAACATGTGACTGCTAAGGCTGGAGATGATGCCGTGACGCCTATGTCCAGATTTTGTGGGAAAAATCTAGAACGAAGATCTATCTCAGGTCCCTTCAAGATGCTGGGAGTAACAGATAACTCTTTAGGCCAGCAGGTGCATTGGATGACGACGGATGATGTTGACTGGCATCAACCCCTCCACCCTGAAGAGGCTCACAATGCCGTTGACTCTGCTGTCACCACTGTTATTGCTGTTCGTGCTGCTGAACAGCGGTTAGTGCCGATGAAGGTAGCGTAGGTAGCAATGATACGGCCGTGGACTAGTTTGGCTTTAATTGGATAGGAGTGAGTACACAACAGGCAGTGCGAGGGAGTGACCGCAAGCCAGTCCGTGAGGGGGAGCACTTGTGTCTATCAAGAGGGCCGACCTAGGAGTGAGAGCGAATGGGCTCAGCCTCCCACTGACCTGGGTGAGCCTACAGAGGGCAGCACCTAAATGCCGCGAAATATGAACTAGTCAGAGCAGACGGCTAGGCTGTGTGTTCTGACAGTACAGGCTGTCTACAGGAGGCACTGGATAATTTGAGAGTAATTGAAGTTCCTCAGATATGTGCAGTACCTGAGCATTCCCAGGATGCGACCCACAACTAGCACCCAGGTACCGTTTTTATTTGAATAATTGGTTTAGAACACCGGGAAGTTGATAAATGAGACACTTGTGGAATATTTGGGAATCTTTATTCTGAAAACGTTTTGCCAGCCAGTGGCTTCTTCAGTCCAGTGTAAAGAACAGTGAAAGACGAAGAGGTAATCAGTCCCTCAGCCTGGAGTCGATGTGTTCAGTCCATGGAGCGAACACATCGACTCAAGGACTGATTACCTCAAACTTCTCGTCTTCCACCGTTCTCTACATGTGACTGAAGAAGCCACAAGCCATTCGCTGGCGAAGCGTTTCCAAAATAAAGATTCCCAAATATTGCATGTCTCATTTACCAATTTTTTTTTATTGTAAGTGAACAGGTGCTGTGGATGCAAGATTCGCCAGTATGTCTCGACCTGCCTATAATGACCAGTACACACACACAACTGCCCACAAACTTAAACGAAATAATCATTGCTACAACCATCACAACTTCCCACTACATCTACATAATATACCCGTTGTTACTCACGCCAAACCGTCTACCAACACCCGCCTGTACACTCACCACTGCAACCCGTCAACTCAACCACCACATCACTTCTCACCTCCTGGATGCCAGGTTCATTCTGGATAACAATAATGTTCTCCAGGTAGGGTGGTCCGCCTGGGGCTTCCACGTACTGAGTACCACAAGTACCCACCGTCACAACGAATTCGAACTCCCGTCCCCCTGTGCCTGGCGTGACGTACGTGCACTTAGGCACGCTGTAGAACCCCTGTCGATAAGAACGTTGTCATTTTTTTTACCATGGTGTATGCAAGAGATTATATATAAATATATATAAATATCTGCTAAACACTGTGACCCTCTTCAAGTCAAATATATATTTATCATCCTAACTTATGCTTTGACGGGAATATTTTAGCTCGAGAATTTTAGGACATAGAAAGGCGAAGAATGATACTGAGTGTCCATTATATTTTAATCTATTTTATTTATTAAAATTTCAAGCTTTATTTTAGTTTTATTTTAATGTAATGAAAATATAATAATAATAATAATAATAATAATAATAATAATAATAATAATAATAATAATAATAAACTCACCTTAGCGTACATGAGGCCATCAAAGGAGCCGTCAAACACTATTCTCACGATCATCTGGTCAGTGTGACAGGCCACATCAAGGGTCACTATCTGAGCCATGGCCATATTTGGCTCGAGTGGAAGTAGGTTCCCCACCACACCTGCAAAACACACACATCACCTATACCACACCTGCAACACACACACACACATCACCTATACCACTTGCAACACACACAATCACCTATATCACACCTGCTACACACACACACACACACACACATACACATCACCTATACCACACCTGCAACATGCACACACACTTCACTTATATCACACTTGCAACAAACAATCACCTACAACACAGATGCAACACACTAATTAGCACCTACTTTAACATGTGGCTCAGGTGGAAGTAGGTTCCCCAAAACACATGCAAACACTCATCAACACGTACTGTAGCATGTGACTCTAGTGCAGTGGTTCCCAAACTGGGGGTAAATTACCCCATGGGGGTAATTTAACCATTTTTGGGGGGTAATGGAGGGGTGACAGAAAAAAAGTTATGAATTCTGAAAATCAAGAAAACAATGCGGTACCCGGTATGAGGATTATTGTTAACTTTGTCTTAGTATATAAAGTTGTAAAGTAAACCTATTATAAGTAAGTAATAAAGTTAAACCAAATAACAATAAACATCAAAAACTAATATACAGTATTAGAAAAGAAGAAATATATAGCTAAGTGTGTGGTAACCCAAAAGTATTTTGACAAGTATGCTTCAGGACAAAAGTCACTCAGTAGCCCAGATCGACCTGTCCAGTACGCGTCACTCACTTCCTGAGGCTGCCTCTATTTCACACTGTCAGTTTATCTGTGAGCATCAGCCGAGGTAGACATAAGCTGGTATGAAGCCAAGAATTCCTAAACTAGCTTCAAGTATGCAACTCCATCCATCCCACTGATGTTCTTGACATCTTTGGTAATAGTCATTAGAGATGCACAATGTTCAAATACAATAAATAAAAGAAAATATCTCAAGTGTTTTAATTTAGCCATATATATCAATAATAACAACATTTTGTGAAAGGGGTAACATGCTTTATGTGGCATTTTAAATTGGGTAACAAGCTGAAAAAGTTTGGGAACCACTGCTCTAGTGGAAGCATGTTCCTCAAAAAACCTGCAACACACATCAACATCTGCAATATGTAAATCTAGTTGGAGCATGTTCAACACCCTCTGGGCCACCTCTTCAACAGCACTCTGGGCCACCCCTTCAACAGCCCTCTGGAGTAATTCCTTCATTAGCCCTCTGGGTCACCCTTTCAACAGTCCTCTGGGCCACCCCTTCAACAGCCCTCTGGGCCATCCCTTCAACAGCCCTCTGGACCATCCCTTCAACAGTCCTCTGGATGTGCCTTTCAGCAGTCCTGTTCATACCTGAGGGTGAGTGCAGCTGTTGTATGACGTCTCCGTAGTTTGAAGCCGTAGGCAGTGCGTCGGGGTAGCCCACTACATCGAGTTGCTGCTGTTGCTGCAGTAGCCCAGCTGGTCTGTGCCTGATGCCTGGGGCAGGTAGGATAAACTGCTTCGACTCCTCCTGCGGCAGGGCAATGTTGTCCTGGGCCACCTCTGTAGCAACCTGCTGCAGGGAGAAAAGATGAAGGCTTTATTAAAATTAGTGACCCCCGACAGGGCTAATAACCCTAAGTAACCGGTGCCGGATCAGCCGGGCTGTGGCTCGTACGTCGGACTGCGTGCGGCCAGCAGTAACAGCCTAGTTGATCAGGCCCTGATCCATCGGGAGGCCTGGTCGTGGACCGGGCCGCGGGGGCGTTGATCCCCGGAATAACCTCCAGGTAACCTCCAGGTAACCCAAGAAAGCCAAGCAGTGTTGCTTTCCCTTCGGATCCTTTCCAAAAATGTTAACTACAAGAGTTGACTAACCCCTCAGTATCTATTTACTAATGAATAACAGGTCCATGACGGAGACTCTGTAAGCTGACAAGCTACCACACCAATGTTTGTCTGTGTTGGATTGTCCCAGATTATTTTTTTAATTTCTCTCTACTTGTCACAGTTGTATCTCTATAGTTAGTATAAGCATAATTTAAAAATCAGTTTATGTCACTGACTTTTTTGGGGTTATCCTTGGTTATTACAAATATGTTACTATGTACGATAATTTATGTAACTATTTATGTGTACCTGCACCTAAATAAACTTACTAAATGCACTGTATAGCTTGTACGAGTTTGCCCTTAACTATTACCGTTTTCTTTATTAAGCTCATTGAAAATAGGGTTCAAGATGCAATAATTTGTATGGTTAACTATAGAATATGATTTTAAAACAGAGGAAATACGATTACTATTACTACTACTACTGCTAGTAGTTGACAGTAAAGTAAAGTTTGTTAGGGTTAAGACCTGTCCTCTGGAATGAGATTATCAGGTTTGAATCCAAGAAGAGGGGTAGCCCCATGGGCCCCAGTGGATATAAGTCACTTTGTCTGACTTTCTTGGGTTACCCTAGGTAATCTACATATATGCTTCTATGTATGACAATTTATGTAGGTGTATTTATGTGTATCAACGCCGCCGGGGCGTTGATCTCCGAAACCCCTTCCAGGTATACTCCAAGTATGTGTAGATATGCCTAAATAAACTTACAGGCTGCCCTGCTGTTATTATGTATATTCATGGGAAAACACTAAGCTAGTAGGGGTTAAGCATGTCCAGCAGTGGGAGGTAATCAAAGGAAAGAAATCCGGTACCATGGATTAAGAGCCTTTCCCCAGCATCAACGCACCCCTTAATACGAATACCGTATTTTACCATAGTTTACCCACGTTACAGGCGTGCTAAGACAACGTTCTCTCATAGTTGAGGACTGGCAAGACAGGCCGGAAGCCTGACATACTTCCCGGGATAATTACTCTCATAGCACACTGGGCACGAAATGGGGCCAACCAGTTGAACCTCTCAACAACTGTCATACAAACCTCATTATATTAGCTCGTTGGTTAGTTAACTGAGTAAATTTAAAGCCTGTCGATTTGACGAGTGTCATTTAGACTGTATGTAACCTGTTCACCACCAGGCAAGAATATTATCCTTAAAATAGGACCGAAAGGCCAACGGTATATTCAGTAAGATGTATATCGGTATATACAGTTATTAACCCCGCAGAGTTGGCTAATCTTAGCAGTGTGGCTTGTTTCTACTGATTTTTTTTTTTTTTTTTTTTATTCGCCGGTATTCTCCCGGCCCGGGTCTTTTCCAAGTAGTGGTGACCCGGCCTTGGCTCCCTATCTGGGGAGTGTCTCGAGACTTAAGTCTCCCATGGGAGGAGGGACAAGTACCTCCTCATCTTTGGGACCAAGTGTCCCCAGGCCTAGCCACATTCCCCGCCCTCACGGGGCTCGTAGGGAGAAGCTAGGCCTCTGGTCTGCCATCTACCCCGCCTCGAAGAGGCTCGTGGGGATGGCAGTCTTATGAGCTGCAGATGGTAGCAAGCTCAGGCCTTAGTTTTGTTTCTACTGAAAATCTTAGGTCCTCTTAACCCAGAATGCGACCCAAATTGGTCAACTACTATGTTTCTATTCTACTTAAACAAGGGCAGTAGGGATAAGGATTCTTACCTGTGCGCCTTAGTTACAGTATATACACCGAGAGGTATACGTCTCTCAGTGTATTTAATCCCTGTTGTTGTAAGGTAATTCAGGTACAGGTACACATAAATACAGTTACATAAATTGTTATACATGGCAACATGTGTAGGTTACTTAGGATAACCCAAAAAGTCAAAGTGACTTATTTCCATTGGGGTCCTTGTAATATCTTATTTAAATATTAAGTTAAAATCTTAGTACGTTTATTCAGGTATACACAAATACAGTTACATAGATTATCATACATAGCAGCATATGTGTAGAGAACCTAGGATAACCCAAAAAAGTCAGTGACATATTTCCATTGGGGTCATTTGACATGCAGCCTTAATGACCCTTTGTTTACTATATACGATTTAAGCTCAACCAACCAACGCCTTAACTCGGTTGAGAATTGAAGCTATGTACTTTCTGTTGTGAACCTGACGCTCTACCACAGAAGTACGAGGGAGTCCCCTAATACAGATATGCACACCTTTTGGCACATTCAATGTGTTTAAGTGCACGATGAAAGACAAACTGATTACTGTTGCTGTACAGTTGAATATACTATACTGTATGCATAATTTTAAAGCGCTTTAAAAACTTTTATCGTAACGTAAGCAATTTGGTTCACAGTCGAAAGAACTTTGGTTCGATTGTTTCTCTAGTTTCCTTACACGGTTGGCTAGGTGTGGGTTCCAATATGGCGCTGCATACTCCAATATGGGCCTAAGGTACACAGTGTACAGGGTCCTGAATGACTCCTTATTTAGATGTCGGAATGCTGCTCATAGGTTTGCCAAGCGCCCGTGTGTGTACTCACCTATTTGTACTCACCTATTTGTGGTTGCTGGGGTCGAGTCCTAGCTCCTGGCCCCGCCTCTTCACCTGTGTGTGTATGTGTGTGTGTGTGTGTGTGTGTGTGTGTGTGTGTGTGTGTGTGTGTGTGTGTGTGTGTGTGTGTGTGTGTGTGTGACCTGCATCAGTAGGTCAGGGGAGGTCCTGCCGACGGGATGAACACTCCCCTACCCTCGCTCCTCCCTGAACTAATTTATTATCTGAGTGCACTAGCGAGGGCTTACTGAGGTAAATGTTTTTTTCGACTACATGCAAATTTATTTTTGAAGTTTATACTCATCTTGAAGCTGTAAGAAAAATTCCATCTGTGTAATACTGGTTGTGTGATTTTATCTTTGATAAATGAACAAAAATGCATATTCACGACGTACAGGTAGCACGTCGAAAATATTTTACTAGTTATAAATGAATTGGAAGACTGTATAGACAGATATGCAGACGAAAGAAAGAGATGAGAGGAAACTACGATAACATAGCCTATTAATCCATACCACTGGCGGGATTTGAACCTGCGGGTTCAAATCCCGCCCGTGATATGGTTTGTTTGCAATCGTGTCATTACGATTTCGTGAGTCAGGTTAACAATAAACATATTTCATAGTCTAATACGTTGACAAATATAGCTAATCACAGAATGGATGGGGCTTGTCTCACGATTTCGTGAGACAAAATATAGTTAGATTGCTTAGCCATGATTTAGGTACAGAAAGGCAGCCAACTGCAATAGTTAGACCAGATGTGAGTTATTACCTGACAGGTAGAACAAAGGAGCATCAGCAGGAACATCTCAAAAAGTTTCCCATGGCACCACATGACGGTACTAATGCCCTTCAGCACCAAAAAATCTGAAAAAGAAAATAATTTTAATATGCATTAATTATAATACTAATAATAAAAAGAAGAATCAGTGACAATCATCTACTTTATTATTAAAAATATTAGATAAAATTGAGCATTGATAGTGGCATTACAACCAGTAATAATTACAATATATATTTCACTAATACATACATTTAAATAATATACATATATGACAAATAACACAGTGTACTAGGTTTAAATCCTATCGACTGCACACCTGTACAGTATTACTCAACAATACTTTAACTCCCAAAAATAGAGATTAAGATAAATCATTGTATATACATATAGAAATATATACAGAGCTCTTGATGTATATACCTGTACGAATATATATCTTATATAAGCTTAGGCGTGTGTATTGTATATACACTTCTAGGTGTATATACAGATACACACCTGTCAAGGTGTATACACCATATTACTACATCATTGTATTTCAGAAATCATTGTATGCTTCACCGCACCGCCTCGTTCCTATGATCATCCATACTTTCTAGTTTGTTGTAAATTAGTTTCTCCTGTTCATCATTTGTAATATATATATATATATATATATATATATATATATATATATATATATATATATATATATATATATATATATATATATATATATATATATATATTATATATATATATTTATTATTATTATTATTATTATTATCACACTGGCCGATTCCCACCAAGGCAGGGTGGCCCGAAAAAGAAAAACTTTCACCATCATTCACTCCATCACTGTCTTGCCAGAAGGGTGCTTTACACTACAGTTTTTAAACTGCAACATTAACACCCCTCCTTCAGAGTGCAGGCACTGTACTTCCCATCTCCAGGACTCAAGTCCGGCCTGCCGGTTTCCCTGAATCCCTTCATAAATGTTACTTTGCTCACACTCCAACAGCACGTCAAGTATTAAAAACCATTTGTCTCCATTCACTCCTATCAAACACGCTCACGCATGCCTGCTGGAAGTCCAAGCCCCTCGCACACAAAACCTCCTTTACCCCCTCCCTCCAAACCTTTCCTAGGCCGACCCCTACCCCGCCTTCCTTCCACTACAGACTGATACACTCTTGAAGTCATTCTGTTTCGCTCCATTCTCTCTACATGTCCGAACCACCTCAACAACCCTTCCTCAGCCCTGTGGACAACAGTTTTGGTAATCCCGCACCTCCTCCTAACTTCCAAACTACGAATTCTCTGCATTATATTCACACCACACATTGCCCTCAGACATGACATCTCCACTGCCTCCAGCCTTCTCCTCGCTGCAACATTCATCACCCATGCTTCACACCCATATAAGAGCGTTGGTAAAACTATACTCTCATATATATATATATATATATATATATATATATATATATATATATATATATATATATTATATATATATATATATATATATATATATATATATATATGCAAAACAACCACTCTGAAAGAATAGAGAAATTCCAAGCGCTTTCGTGACTACTCACATTATCAAGGAACTATGAAAGTGAAGCATCCAAGGAAGCTATATAAGGGGTCGGCCAGCACCTCACTATCACTTATATAGCTTCCTTGGATGCTTCACTTTCATAGTTCCTTGATAATGTGAGTAGTCACGAAAGCGCTTGGAATTTCTCTATTCTTTCAGAGTGGTTGTTTTGCATATTTTGAAATCACCTGTTTACTGTGATCTTATTGCATATATATATATATATATATATATATATATATATATATATATATATATATATATTATATATATATATATATATATATATATATATCGTGCCGAATAGGCAGAACTTGCGATCTTGGCTTAAATAGCAACGCTCATCTTGCCATATAGGACAAGCGAAAATTTGTGTATGCAATAATTTCGCCAAAATCATTCTGAACCTAACGAAAAAAAATATATTTCACTGTGTTTGTTTAGTATTAAATTATTGTAAACAAATCTAAAATATATTTAGTTGGGTTAATGTAAAATAAATTATTCTTGTTATAATAAGGTTAGGTAAGTTTTCTAAGTTCCTTTTGCGCAAAATTAAAATTTTTACATAACATTATTGAAAAAATATCTTTAAATGTATGAGAGAAATTTTAGAAGAACTATTTAAATGATTTTTGTAATTGACAGTTAACTTATTGTAAGATTTGCAATACCAGCTTACAACTAACCACACACACACAACACACACACAATCAATAATAATATCAATATCAATAATATATATATATATATATATATATTAATATATATATATACCATCAATTATGAGTGTACTTTTTAATATATATCTTTCATAAAGATGAAGGGAATTTAAAATCAAGTCGGAGTATGGTTCTAAAACGTGAAAACGAAAGCCAGTTAACATCTGTCATAGATACAGAAAGAGGTTATGGTCCTCACGCTGCCGCATTTAGTCGCAAACACTGCCTGTTGTCCTACAAGAATAATACTTTCTATACAGTTAAAACGGGATTAAAATGATCACTACATGATAAGAACCTAGTTTAAGGAGACATTATCGCTACCGAAATATTATCAAGGACACAAAGTGTATTATGACCAAGTGTAATGCACGAAGATACATACCTGGGTGTATATTCTGAGAGTTTAATTGCTTGAAATAAGGCTCCAGAATGCTTATGTTAACATGTACACTTGTACAATCCTCGTGTTGGTCGAAGACTAATTAATACTCATTACCCGGAGATATAACAATGCATACTCCGATTTATATAATGCATATCAGTTTAATTTAGTAATTACATCAGTTGATGTGAGTTGGTGCTTGAACTTTAATTTTGTGATTCCGTATAGTGACTTGAAACCTTAATTTTTCAATGATAACGAGTGGGTGATTTGTAAAACCTTGACGGTTTTCAACGAAAGACTCGGTAGACGACTTAAAACCCTAATTGTTCAATCGTACTGACGCGTCAGGAAACCTTGTCCTGTTTCCTGACAAACATTATACCTTTCTATAAAGATGTAAAACGGGATCTTAAACTGGTCATCTACATGATTAAGACCAGTTTCAGGAGACACTTATCCTGCTTCCTGACAAATATTATCAAGACACAAAGATGTATTCAACAAGTACTATGCACCGAGATATATACCTGGGTGTATATTCGCTGAGAGGTTATATTAATCTTTCTTGAATGATTAAGGCTTTCATGAGTGGTGGTGAATGTTACCTGGATCCTTGACAATCCTCGTGTGGTCGAAAGACATTAATTAAACATCATTAACCAACGAGAATATATAACAGATGCATCTCCGAGTTTATAATAGATGCATCTCAGTTTAATTTAGTAATTAATGCTTGAATGGTGAGTAGGTGGCTTGAAACCTTAATTCTTGTGATGACGAGTAGGTGACTTGAAACCTTAATTTTTCAATGATAACGAGTGGGTGACTTGAAACCTTAATTTTTCAATGATAACGAGTGGGTGACTTGAAACCTTAATTTTTCAATGATAACGAGTGGATGACTTGAAACCTTAATTCTTCAATGATGACGAGTGGGTGACTTGAAACCTTAATTTTTCAATGATAACGAGTAGGTGACTTGAAACCTTAATTTTTCAATGATAACGAGTGGGTGACTTGAAACCTTAATTTTTCAATGATAACGAGTGGGTGACTTGAAACCTTAATTTTTCAATGATAACGAGTAGGTGACTTGAAACCTTAATTTTTAAATGATAACGAGTGGGTGACTTGAAACCTTAATGACCCTTCGAATAGTTGACTGTCTTTAATTTTAAGCCCAATTAACGAACCAACAAGATTATGTACACTAAGAGTTAACTTCCATCTTTATTTTAGGGTTTAAAATATTCTTGACTGGTGGGAAACAGGTTAACAAGGGCCTTAATGACACTCATGTATTCGATAAGCACCAGACCCAATTAACCAACCAACCATTGTTACATGAACTGTATATATTCAACCGAGTGTGTTTCCCCTTGATATATATATATATATATATATATATATATATATATATATATATATATATATATATATATATATATATATATATATATATATATATATATATAGCGCTAGTGCATACACACACGCCATTACATAAAGAATATACGCAGCTTACTTGAAACCCTATTTAGGGATTAAACTATTCACGACTGATGTTTAGATAAAATGCAGCCCTAATTAGTAATTTTGCTAATTTTCTTCAATTATTAACTCGGATATTGAATAAAATTCTATATTTGAAAGCTAAATCCCCAGGTGGTTGCTTTCTTAATGACTTCTACAGTACTAGAAATCAAATTTTAACTCATCTGGGGAATTACACGATAAATAATGTAACTGAATTGTAAAGTCTGCCTTATTTTCATAAAGTAATTAGTGTACTTGCATAACTATATATCATTCAAATTATGCCACAGTATTCGTGTTAAAATGTTAAAATTTTCATGTTATATACCATAAGAGGTTAGGGTAGGGCAGGTTAGGTTAGGTTAGGTTAGGTTAAGTAAGGTTATGTTAAGTAAGGTTAAGTTAAGTTAGGTTAGGTTAGGTTGAGTAAGGTAAGGTTAGGTTAAGTTTGTCAGGAAACAGGACAAGTGTTTCCTGACGCGGGTCTTAGTCACATAATGACCCACAGCTGGAGCTTTTGATCATCTGACCGAGGCCTTCAGCTGGCTTACCCATCCAAACATGGAGAATTCTGCTCTGAAGTGTAAGAAGAGAGCTGAGGAGGCGGAGGTTTAAAGCCAAGGTCCCACTGATAAGTCCCACTGGCACTACTGACAGCCTCACTGACAGACTCTTCCTTGTAACCTTCCTCGTGTGTCTGCATGCAGTCAGCTACTGCAAGAAGCAGCACTCAGCAGATGTAGTGGGAAAAATATGAACATTAATGGGCGGATGTGAATGTTGACGGTAGTGAGAGGAGTATAAGAACGGAGTATTATTATTATTATTATTATTATTATTGGTGTTGTTATAGAAGAGAATCAATGAACTAGTACCAGGACAGTCAGCACACTGCTCCAGCTCCAGCAACAAGCAGACTATTACTAATGAAAACTAGTCAGCACACTGGTCCAGCTCAAGCAACAAGCAAACTATTACTAATGAAAACTAGTCAGCACACTGGTCCAGGTCTAGCACCAGGAAAACTATTACTAATGAAAACTAGTCAGCACACTGGTCCAGGTCTAGCACCAGGGAAACTATTACTAATGAAAACTAGTCAGCACACTGGTCCAGGTCTAGCACCAGGGAAACTATTACTAATGAAAACTAGTCAGCACACTGGTCCAGGTCTAGCACCAGGGAAACTATTACTAATGAAAACTAGTCAGCACACTGGTCCAGGTCTAGCACCAGGGAAACTATTACTAATGAAAACTAGTCAGCACACTGGTCCAGGTCTAGCACCAGGGAAACTATTACTAATGAAAACTAGTCAGCACACTGGTCCAGGTCTAGCACCAGGGAAACTATTACTAATGAAAACTAGTCAGCACACTGGTCCAGGTCTAGCACCAGGGAAACTATTACTAATGAAAACTAGTCAGCACACTGGTCCAGGTATAGCACCAGGGAAACTATTACTAATGAAAACTAGTCAGCACACTGGTCCAGGTCTAGCACCAGGGAAACTATTACTAATGAAAACTAGTCAGCACACTGGTCCAGGTATAGCACCAGGGAAACTATTACTAATGAAAACTAGTCAGCACACTGGTCCAGGTTCAGCTGCAGGGGAAACTCTTATTAATGAAAACGTCATCACACTGAACCAGTTCCAGCACCAGGGGAAACTGTTCATTAACTTCAACTGACCACCACCATGGAATCTCTGGCAACATCACTAATCGCTTAGTGAAAGTTCAGTACAAAAAAATAAATATATAACCCAGATGGTGAAGATAAAGGATGACTACACGGAATTGAGCCGTTACCCAGGGCTTCTCATAACCTTTAAAACATGCAGACGTATCTTAAGATAGGCTTCGTGCTTATATCTGACTAGGATGTATACTAGAATCTTAGTAGAAATTAGTGAAACCGTCATTAATCCAGGCGACTGGGACCACAGTTCTCTGGCTCTCCTTGCTCGACTTGTTTTAGAAAATTGGAGTCATACCTTCTCGGCGGCTCAAATATAATTAGGCTTTCACCCATAACTCTCAAAAAACTTTTCCAATCATGAGCCCATTGTGCAAATCTACAAGTGGTGGTACAAGTGAATAGCAATGACAGTCGTATGAAGATACACATAGTCGAAATAGTTTTATATACCGACTAATATATACCTTAAATTCTGTTTTAAGCCTCGCGATAGGTTATGTAAATTCTGCAACATTTAAGTGGATTATGCAATGTTGACTGTTATAGTTTGAGCCAATGGTAAAAGCGCTCTTTGTTTAGTAACCGTGAAGAAAAGCAAGCCAAATTAATCTAGATTAAGAATTAGGCCAAAAAAAAATATTTACTAAGCAAAAAAAAAAAAAAAATATTTGCTCCACGAAGCAAAAATATAAATGTTTCCAATGTACATCCAACAGTTGAAGAATTTACATAATAAAATGCACATGAACCTCATTCCGGCTAAGCGCTAAAATGCGATAGGTAAAACGTGTATATTTTTTACGTACAAGTATTTTCTGTCTAACACACACACTCTCTCCATAATTACCCTGGCCGTTCATCACTGCAGGACGATAGTTCGGGCTTCACTCCCTAACTTTCCACTACTTAAACTTATGACTTCCCAACGCCAGGTAATTGGAATATAGAGAACGGTTAATGAAATTGTTATGCTGGTACCAAAAACATTAGCTTTGAATATTATTATTATTGATATTCACGGAGGGGAGAATATCTTTTGATTCGCTCGTGTGTTTTTCCCCTCGCTCCTAGTAAACTTTAAAAAAAAAAAATCATTATTACAAGCATACCTTGCTAAAATACTATAAGGTAGTTTTTTGTATTTTATTTGTGTGACCTAATTCATGTCTGCATAACTCATTACGATTGTAACCACATATAAACATGCAAATAATCCTTATAGATTTTACAAGCATTTCATACAGGAGATATACCCTGAAGGATGCATTTCCCTTAGCATATATATGCCTAGAGTTTAATTCCTATTTTAGCAATTAAAGTATTCTTGTCTGGTGTTGGACAGGTTATGTACAGCCTTAATGAGCCTATTGTGGTAGATAGGATTTAAACCAGATTAAAAGTAAATTTACAGATGTCTTTAGTTTAAGCAAAAATATTCTTTTTACAAATACCAAAGACTGTAGAAGCGTAAGGAAAATAAAATCCCGACGTTTATCTTTTAGTCAGTGACTTTACCCAGGGTCTTTAAGGTGTTACACTAAGTTAATGATGCTTGCTTGATATAAAGACGAAGTCGTCTTTAATTTTTAGAGATGGACGGGTAAACCTGTGGCCGAATTGATGGCTGACGTACACTTGGCCGACAGACATTTCACCGACGGACATTTGGCCGAATGGACATTTCACCGACGGACATTTGGCCGAACGGACATTTCACCGAATATCGGATATCTGGGTTAGGTTAGGATAGGATAGGTTAGGGTAGGTTAGGGTAAGTTAGGTTAGGATAGGTTAGGTTATCCGATATTCGGTGAAATGTTCGTTCGGTCAAATGTCCGTGGGAAATGTCCGTTCGACCAAATGTCCATCGGTGAAATATCTGTCGGCCAAATGTCCGTCGGCCATCTGTCCGGGAGCCGGGTAAACCAGCGGTAGACCTCGGTCATATGACCAGAAGCTCCAGTGTCGGGTCACTATATGATAATACCAGTGTCAGGAGGCATTTGTCCTGTTTCCTGATGAATCTTACCTAACCTAACCTAGGAAAGTGAGCGGGATAATGATAGACAACTTTTGGATAGGAAGATCGATGGATGGAGAGAGAAGACGGTGATAATTCACGTACTCTTGGATCAGGACTGTATAGTCCTTGTGGCTTAGCGCTTCTTTTTGATTATAATAATAATTATTGGATCAGGAAATTATCAGAATTTTTACTGGGTAGGAAAATACTATGGAAACAGCTAGTCAAACAAAACATAACAACAACACAGCTATTATAAAACAAAAGACAAGGTCAGTAAGCAGATGTAAATAAAGAACTTGGATATGCATGCATCATTCTGAGTCGAGATCAGCGCCTGAAAGAGAAGGATCAACATAGAGGGTTCATTAGACAAAAGGATGCAAATGTGAGGGGGAGACACAGAAGGGAGAGGAACACAGAGGGGAGTAACCAGCCAACCACAGAACACTCTCCAGCAGAAAGAACAGGAATCCTCCCCAATCCCCCTTCGTCCTCCAACACTGAACCTCACCCTAGCAGATTAAACAACTGTCACTCCTCTCCTCACCCTGCCTCTGTTGATCCCTTCCCCTGCCATAGTTCACTTTTCTCACTATCCCTACCCCACCCAGCCTACCCTGTCCCCCTCACACATTTTTTAACTATTCTCTCAAATATTTATCATACCATCCAATCCCTCCTCCTCTCTTCCTTACTCCATCTCTACTTCCCACATTTCTAGATCCCCGCCACCATGACCCCCCCCCCTCTCCAACCATCTGCAGTACCTTCCACAACTGACCCCAGTACCCAGCCTTCCAGACATGGCCACTAAATAACTACTATCCTGCTTCCCTCGTCCATTCCTCCTATCTTTATTACCAACTCTTCTTTTCCTCACATTCTTGATAGCCACCTCGATCCAGTTAAGGTTAATAAGTAGTAAGTTTTTATTTAGGGCTGTGTACGTAAAATACCAATATTTCTTACAATGGTCCTGAGAGCACACACATGCTATGGGGGCATATAAAGTACATTATATAGATTTAACTTAGGAAAAAAAACAATAAAAGCCAAACAGTGTGGGTGATTTCTAGTAGATGTGGGTGTCTGACCCTTCTCTTTCCACAAGAATCATTACTATGAGACTGTCCTCTGTTCACCTGCTTGCAGGTGCTCCTGTTCCTCTCTGTGTAAACTGCAGTGTGATACCGAATGCCCAATAGCTTGTCTTTTTTTTAGATTTTTAATTACCAGGGTACCTGCTGGTACATCGGATATATTTTGGAAGATCTGTATGATATTACCAATATCATATTGTTTTTAATTGATGCGGGAGTGTTATTTGGTGTGGTTTTTATTCTGGTTTTTTTTCAGCAACTTTGTGTGTATATGTGCATGCCCGTGTAGAAACCTTTATTTCATAAAATGCTAATGAATTTTTCGGCATTAATGCCCAATAAGTTTTAAAATTTCCTTTCGTAAGAGAAGAAACCTTCTCACTCCTTACTCTATAATAGAGCCAGAGCGTGAGACAACGAACTAGAATATAACTGGAGAACAGTAATAGACGAGTGAGAATTTGGCACATTGATGCATATGAAATCCTGAATAAGAGCAGCGAAATAAAAGAAGAGGAACCAAATATAGCACTCTCAAAAATAAAACCTATAAAGAGAATATCACTCACAATATTCCCAGTCAAGTACCAAGTACTGAGGGAGAAATGAGGAAACCAAACCGACAAATGAGTAGAATTGATAGTAGGAAGCCAGTAGAGAATTTTAACCGATTAACTCCGAAGGATAGGATGTGGTGAAGCCAACAACCACACAATGACTATCACAACCGGAAGATGCAAGGTAGCAGAGGCAGCAATATACAGTCCTTCACCTGACAGCAGAAGACAAGGATGTGTACATCATGAGCTACAGGGGCGTGGTAACCACGACAGCGGAAGTGACAAGGATAGCACACAACCATAACAAACCTACTGATCATGAGA